TTCTTTTTTTTTTTTTTAAATATATATTTTTATTGATTTCAGAGAGAAAGGGAGAGGAAGAGAGAGATAGAAACATGAATGATGAGGAAGAGAGAGATAGAAACATCATTGATCGGCTGCTTCCTAGATGCCCCACATTGGAGATCGACCCCCCTACCTGAACATGTGACCTGACCAGGAATAGAACCGTGACCTCATGGTTCATAGGTCAACACTCAACCACTGAGCACACCGGCAGGGCAAGTATCACAGATTATTAATTCAAATTAAGGAAGGTTCAGAAGGGTGTGGAAAATGCCAGGCCGGTTCATGAGACTGGTCCCTCCCAGCTTTGGCTCTTAGGCTGGAATTGGGGGGTGGGGGTGCAGAGGCTGGCCACCCGCTGTCCCTGACTGCCTTTGGATAAACGAGACCGGATTGGCCACGATCCGTGACTTTACCTGGAGTCTTCATGAACTGCTTCTTCTGGCCTGTCAAAAAGCAAGTGCAGATTTGGATGGCAGGGAACAAAGTTGACGAGGAGGCTGAACACTGCATGAAGAGAGGACCAAGCCAATGAGAGAACAACGGCAGCAACAGAAAACCAAACAAACCCTGCCACAGACCTGATGGGGGATGAGTCGCTGGACGTGGATGAGGTGGGCATAGGGCTGGATGGCGCCGAAAACATGGGCCAAGATGGCGAGAGGGGTGAAGTTGGGCTTGGATTCGGGGGGCTGCAAGACACAACAACCAGAAAACTCATCAGCACACAGGGAAACCACAGTGGGAGCACAGGAGGTCCATGGAAGGCCACATGATGGGGAGCTGGAGCAACTAGAGAAGCACTGAACCCAGACGTGTCATCAGTGCCCGTCAGTTCTTCCAGCGAATGCTTGTCTGGTAATCCTGGGAGCATTACCGTCTCTTTGCCCTGCAGGATAACTGCTTTCTCGTGACAGGAGCTTCGTCAGTTGTGTCCATTGTGCCTTTGGCCACAGGTGATAAATGCCCTGAACCCACATAGGTGAGTTCCCACACCCGTAGCCTATCCCAGGCCTCTGTCTGGGGCAGGGCTAGCTTATAACCAGCCTTCAGCTTCCCGTACTGCATGGTTTTAAAGTCGTGTTTCAGCAAAAATGACCATTTTTTTTTCCAGGCCACACAGGCTATTGAGCCAGAAAACAATTTCCTGTTTACATTTTTAACTAAATGGGCTGTCTGCCATTGGAGACCCGGAGAAGTACCGCATTAGAAAAATGGCAGCGGATGGAGGATGGGTCTGGAAAGGACACACGCCTCTTGAGAGAGGCCTTATAGTTATGGGCAGTAGGCTGTTCCTCTGAGGTTTGCTTTCCAGGTCTGCTCTTTCTCTTTTCAGAGGTTCTGGGCATTTTGATGCTCAAAGGAAAACCACAGAGGGGAGGCAGTAAAAACAAAAAGAGGAATGGAAACCTCAAATCTGTCATTTTGTTCTTTAGTCGCTGGCTGATCAAAAGTTTGGAGAGAAAAGGTTGAAATTACTCACTAAAATATGGTTTGACTTTAATTGGTCATGCTAGTCCTTTGACTTCTTTCCATATACAAACAAACAAACATTTTAGCAACTCTGTAAAATTGCATGAAATCACAGATAGTGCGAACACTAATGACTGAGAAAACAATGTGGGGACCACCTGGCCACACCACCACCTGCAGCCCCTGGACCTCGGCCAACGCTGGACTGTTTGGTTTAAGTCCTTTGTAGAGGGGGAAGAAACAGCACTCCCATGCAGGAAACAGACTTTCTCAACATAGTGGGAATTAGCAAGAACACATAAATGTACTACTTAATGGGACATACTCAATTCAGACACGAGACTCAATTACGGCTCTAATTACCTAGAGTTGCAACAAAAATTCCTATGGCAATATACAGTAAAAACCCATTGTGTGAGTTCATCAGCCTCATACTAATTGAATGAAACATTATGAAGTGCCATTATGTGTATTACATTTCTAGAATATAAATGCTATGAGGCAGGGATTTTTGTCCATTTTGTTTACAGCTCTATCTCCAGAGTCTAAAATAGTGCCTGAAGTATTCAATAAACAATTACTAAGTGAATTAGTGAATCTACCCAACATGTCAAAAGGCACTACTGTAATTCATGTTACACAGATGTGGAAGCTTGGGCCATTTGAGGCTTATCTGAAGATGCTCAGCCTGTAAGTTACAAGACTGAGAGGTTCAGACCCCAATCCCTGACTTGAAGCCTCTGGTATAACAGGACTTGCTCAGTTCCTCGATACTATGCCAAGTGTCTTCACAGACTCAGCCACAGCACTAGAAGCCTTCTGAATCACTGATTTATAACTTTCCTTTAGATGCCAACCACATTTGCAAGGGAAATTGGGAATGCAGTAACAGACTCAATAAGACTCAACAAATTGTAATTCCAACAAAATCCCCAATCCTGCCTCCAGTCTTCTGCCCGCTAGATTCACCCAGCAGATAAAACCCATCAAATATGAGAGATTAAATTAGAAGAGCATGGCCTTTTCTCCCATTAATCTAGCAAAGACTAGTTAGAGATAATTTAGTGTGATCAAGACAAAAAAGTGGAATACAAGTTAGTATTTGCCAAGGTTCCTAACTTCAAGAGCTTATGATATATTTGACAAGATGGCGTAGATTTAAAAACAATCGCAGATGCTAAAATCCTCAACAAAGTATTAGCAAACGGATCCAGCAATACATTAAAAAGATCATACACCATGATCAAGTGGGATTTATTCCTGGGATGCAAGGTTGGTTCAATAGCTGCAAATCAATAAATGTGATACACAACACAAACAAAATGAAGGATAAAAACCATTGATCATATTGGCAGATGTAGAAAAAGCACTTGATAAAATCCAGAACCCATTTATGATAAAAACTCTCAGCAAAGAGGTAATAGAGGGAACATATTTCAACATAATAAAGGTTATTTATGACAAACCCACAGCCAACATCATACTCAATTGGTAAACACTATAAGCATTGCCCTTAAGACCAGGAACAAGACAGAGATGTCCTCTTTACCACTTTTATTCAACATAGTACTGGAAGTCCTAGCCACAGCAGACAAGAAGAAGAAATAAAAGGCATCCAAATTGTAAAGGAATAAGTAAAACTGTCATTATTTGCAGATGGTATGATACTGTATATAGAGAACCCTAAAGATCACTAAGAAACTACTAGTACTGATAAATGAATTCAATAAAGTAGCAGGATACAAAATAAATATCCAGAAACCAGTTGCATTTTTATATACTAATAACAAGCTATCAGAAAGGGTAACTAAAAAAACAATCCCATTCACAGTTGCCATCAAAAAATAAAATAAAAAACCTAGGAACAAATTTAACCAAGGATGTAAAAGACCTGTACTTGGAAAATTATAATGAAGAAAGAAAGGCAAGAAGATACAAATAAGTGAAGCATATACCACTTCATGGGTAGGAAGATGTAACATCATTAAAATGTCCATATTACTCAAAGCAATATATAGATTCAATGCAATTCCTATCAAAATACCAATGATGTATTTCACAGAACTAGAACAAATATTCCAAAAATTTATATAGAACCACAAAAGACCTTGAATAGCCACAGCAATCTTGAGAAAGAAAAAAAAAGTTGGAGGAATCACACTATCTGATGTCAAACCATACTACAAGGCCATAGTAATCAAAACAACATGGTACTGGCCCAAAACAGTAGATCAATGGAACAGAATAGAGAGTCCAGAAATAAACCCACACCTTTATGGTCAATTAATATTTGACAAAGGAGATAAAACATACAATGGAGTAAAGATAGTCTATTCAATAAATGATGTTAGGAAAATTGAACAGATATGTGCAAAAAATGAAACTAGACCATCTTCTTAGACTATACACAAGAATAAACTCAAAATGGATTAAGTATTTAGTCATTAGACTCGAAACCATAAAAATCCCAGAAGTAACATAAGCAGTAAAATCTTGTATATTTCTCATAGCAATATTTTTTTTCTGATATATCTCCTCAGGAAGGAGAAACAAAATAAACAAATAAACAAACAAATAGAATTATATCAAACTAAAAAGGTTTTGCACAGCAAAGAAAACCATAAACAAAATCAAAAGATAGCCTACTTAATGGGAGGACATATTTGCCAATGGTACATCTGTTAAGGGTTTAATATCCAAAATTTAAAAAGAACTTATACAACTCAACATAAAATAAACAAACAATCCAATTAAAAAATGGGCAAAGGACCTGAATGGACACCTGTCCAAAGAGGATATACAGATGTCAATAGACATGAAAAGATGTTCAACGTCAATAATCATCAGAGAAATGCAAATTAAACCACAATGAGACATCAATGAGCTATCACCTCATACCATTAGAAGGGCTATCATCAATAAGTCCACAAAATAGTGTTGGCAAGGATGTAGAGAAAAGAGAACCCTTGTGCACTGCTAGTGGTAATGCAGATTGGTGTAGCCACTGTGAAAAGCAGTATGAAGTTATCTTAAAAAATTAAAAATGAAACTGCCGTATGACCCAGCTATTCCACTTCTGGGAATATATCCGAAGAAGCTGGAAAACTAATTCAAAAGACTATATGCACCCCTATGTTTAGTGCAGCATTATTTTCAATAGGCAAGATTTGGAAGTAGCCCAAGTGACCATCAGTAGATTAGTGAATAAAAAAGCTGTGGTATTTACACAATGGAATACTACTTGGCTGTAAAAAAAAAAAAGGGAAAAGAAGGAAATCTTAATCTTTGTGACAGCATGGATGGACCTGTCACCAATACCATTGAACATTTTTATATACCACAATGATTGATGCCTGTAGCGGGAGAATGACTATAAACATATTAATGCTCCTCCAAGGAACAAGCAGCACATTATATTTTAGTTTTGATGCAACTCAGAAAACACAAAGGGGGAAATAAGGTGCACAAGGAGGAGAATGGCCCGAGGCTCTTTGTATCATCTTTCACACCAGAAGTCTCTGGCTAGAGCAGCCGTGGGCAAACTACGGCCCGCAGGCCGCCTGTTTGAAAGGAATAAAACTATTGAAAAAAAAGACCGTACCCTTTCATGTAATGATGTTTACTTTGAATTTATATTAGTTCACACAAACACTCCATCCATGCTTTTGTTCCGGCCCTCCGGTCCAGTTTAAGAACCCATTGTGGCCCTCGAGTCAAAAAGTTTGCCCACCCCTGGGCTAGAGGGTACTTAAAACTGACAACAGCACCCCAAATGTCCAAAACAAAACAGACAAAAAATGACCAGCTTTTCTATTGCCTCTGAAACCTACAATATTAAATTCTCAAACTCTTTTCCCACTAATGAGGCCAAAGATAACAGGATAGGAAAAAAATAATTTTATAACTACAATCTTAGCAGATGACCCCCCAAGGTCTCTCTGCAGCCCTCAAGACCAGCTGGAAGGGAGTCTCTGAGCTGAACACCCCAGCACACTTTTTATCCTAAATATTCCTGAGGTTCTGCCAGGCCCCCATATCAAGGCTCAACTGTAACAGCAACAGCTTAAGTGTTAGCATGGAAGGAACACTTGCCCATTTGACTTGGATTCAAGAGGAAGGCTTGCATCAGCTCTAGTTTGCTGGTCTACAGTGTCCTCAAAAGTCCCAGTCAATCCCTTTGACATTCACTGGACAGTGAAGAAATAACGGTTTGGGAAGA